CAGTGAAATATGGGTAATTGACACAAAAGCCTATACCCTCTGTTTTTATTCTGCAAATCGTTTTTATCGTTTCAATATTGACATTTTTACATTCAGATCGACATTTCTTTGGCTAAAAAGTCAATATCGTCCATTTTTTTTCTTTCAAGCATCGTAAAATGATTAATTTACCTCCTCTTTAAATAATCAAATAGGGAAAAAAAATAATATGAAAAATTGAATCTAGAGTTTAAAATTTTTTGAAAAATACAAATGAGTCGAATGTAAAACAATTTAACACATTTTAATAACAGAAAATATTTTATCTTCTTCATTGATCCACCTATCCCTAAGCTCATCCCCTGCTCTCCACCATCACCACCAAAAATAATTAAAAAGAGAATAAAAAGTATAAAATAGGATAATTAGGAAAAAACACCTCTATCGTTTGAACTCATTTCGAAAATAGTTCCAATCATTTCAAACTTTACATTTACACTCTCATTTAAAACCTTTCTTGCGGAGTTGGTCATTTTCGTCTTGTTAATTTCATGAAATATAAGTAATTGGCACAAAAAGTCCCTATCCTTTCCCTTTATTAAGTAAATCGTCTCCATTGTTTCAATTTTGATATTTTGATACTCAGATCGACATTTCTTTACATAAAAGGTTTTGACCATCCATTTTTTCATTAAAACATTATAAAATGGCTAATTTACCCTACTCTTTAAATAATCAAATAGAAAAAAAATATATAAAAAATTGTATCTAGAATTTCAAATTTTTCAAAAAGTACAAATGAGTTCCACGTAAAACAATTTAAAATATTTTATCAACAAAAAATAAATAAATTTATCTTCTCAATTAATCCACCTGTCCATATGCTGATCCCTACGCCCCCCCCCCACTACCACCCCACCAAAATAATTAAAATGAGAATTAAAAACATAAGGAAAAAAAAAAAAAAGGTAAGAAGAGAATTAACAATATAAGAAATAAAAAATAAAATGGTGCTTCTTTCTCATCCAATTCGCACCCTACCATCTCCATTGTCACCATCACAACCCATTTTCCTTATTTCACTATGGCACCGTTCAAGAATTAAGCTATTTTTCTGTAATCAAGTTTTGTCGTCTAATATCATTATTACTTCAGCGAAATTACCAGAGTTTTTTAGGCGAAATTCACTCATTGCATCAGCTTTTGAATTTTGTTCTGGTTTTGTAAAGAATAGATAAATTCCTAATATGAGGCAAAACAAACATGGATGACGAAGAAGCACCATTTTATTTTATTTTTTTGTTTTCCTATTCTTAATTCTTTTCTTACTTTTTTTTTTATAGTTTTAATTATTTTGGTGGTGGTGGCGGTGGTGGTAGTGCTGGAGGAGGAGGAGGAGGAGGGTATGGGATAGGCGTAGTTATGTGGGTTAATTGGGAAGATAAATATTTTTCTTTTGTTAGAATATTTTAAGTTATTTTACTTGAGACTCATTTTTTTTTTTTTTTTAGAACTCTAAATGCAATTTTTTATATTATTAATTTATTTTCTATTTGTTTATTTAAAGAGTAGGGTAAATTAGCATTTTATAATGCTTTAATAGAGAAAATAGACGGAATGATGTTTTGCACAAAGAAAGGTCAATTTAAGTGCTTAAGTGTCAAAATTGAAACAATAAGGATGGTTTGAGCAATGAAGACAAATGACGGGGATTTTTTAATTTATTATTATTTTTTAGCTAATTACCTATATTTCAAGGAAAGATTTAACAGAACATAACGAAAATGACCTACTCTGCAAGAAAGATTTAAAACGAGAATGTAAAAGTTAAGTTTGAAACGATAGAGCCTATTTTACAATGAGTGCAAACGACAAGATTTTTTGCTAATTATTCAACCAAAATATATTTCACACTTCATAGATCGAGTCAGAGGCTACATGTGACAATCAAGTTAAATATGATCATCTATATTATAAAATAAAATTTTTAGCATCTTCAAATGGTTATTTAAAAGTGAAATATTCTTTATTTTAAAGAGTCAAATATGAAAAATTATGTATTAATAGACCTTCAAATTAAAATTTTAAAATATAAATTAAATTTCACTCTCTATAATTAGGTGGATTCGAAATATTTCACTATTCAATGCTCCATATATTTACCTAATTGAATAGTATATACATGAAAAATAGAGGGAAATAATATAATAACTTGAAAGGAATATGAGGAAAATAAAATATCTATAAAAAATAATAAAATACATATTAGGAGTAGTAAAATTAAAAACAATTTTGTTTATTTAAAAGTTATTCTAATACGCTGTTTTGATCAAATATAAAAATGATTTTTAAAATGATATTTGAAGTTGAAAAATATTTTATCGTGAAAAATTAGTTAAAAATACTATCCAAAAGTCCATGTTTTTCAAAACTTTCAAATCAGATCAAACGGGGGTCATAACATAAAAAGATCAAGACTATCGAATGATTGATTGACCGAAAAAAGGAGGTCAATCGGAGGCGGTTGACTGGTTAAAAGAAGTTGTTGACCAAAAGTTTCAAATGGTCCAAATTTTGATTATGCTGACATCTGATTTTCACTATACAAAATGTTATATTGTTCATCTGAGCAAGAGGCAATCAACCGAACGGGTCATCCGAACTTACAAATTTTTTGGCTTTTTGAACTCTATAAATATCCACATTTCTTGCATTCATCATACATTTTTAGAGAGCTTTAAATTGAAAAAGAACCGATTATATCTCTTGAACTTACATCTCATTTATTCTATCAAACAATCAATTTGAAAATCTTTTATTGATTCAACTTTTGAAAATCATATTTTCATCAAAAAAATTTCATCTAACACTTGAACTTCATTTATTGCTATTTAATTAAAGTATTAGCATATTTCTCTCTTAGTACTAAATTTGTTTATATCATTTATTATAAATAAGGATCGGTGCTCTTATTTATAAGTTACCAAAAGTATTGTAAGGATTTGAATTGTACTATAAGTGAATCAAATATAGTGAAAATGTATTATTCATACCAGGCAATTTGGTAACGAAAGTCATAGATCATCGTTTTGGATCGAAACTCCACAATTATATCGTTTGCACTCTCTCTTCCATTTTACTCATTGCTTTCATATTTGTACATTTTTTTATAGATCTTTTTCATTTCCAACTCGCCTGAATTTGAATTAATTTTTTGAAAAAGCTATAGAAACCAATTCGTCCTCCTTTTGGTTGGTTATTCTTGGGCTATCAGTTGATATGTTAGGTCTCTCGAGGTAGCTTCATGATTGAACAAATAGATGTTCCATTATTTGTTGAAACAACAAAAACTTTAGAAGACAAAAATGGTTATAAAGTCTACGTAGTTTTATTGATAGGCAAGAAATTTTATACCAAAAACATTTGAAATTATTATTCAGAAAGAAAACGTTCATTGAAAGGATTTTGGATTGTACAATAAAACTTTAAAGTATTCAAAGTCTCTATCAAAAGTGTTATTCAACTATAGTACTAAGAAAAAAATCGAATTATTATAGAAAACTTAAATATATTCGATTGTTAAATTACTAGTAAAAACAATATTGTTGACATGCTAACATAACCATCAGATCAAGTTGAAACGACAATAGACATGTCCTACTATGGCTGGTTTTGGTACGTAATGTTAAGTATGTTTGGGTTACTTAAAAAAATGAAGTATGGTTTTCT